GTTTCAGAATGTCCTGAAAACGCATCAGGATGTAGTATATAGCGGGAAAAGTGTCCTGAATGTGTTTAAAGACAGCTTAGGAAGGTACTTCCTTTCACCGGAGTGCTCGGACCCTAATAAAAACAAAGCAATAGTAGATCCAGGATAAATAGATAAACAGTCATACTACAGATTAAAAACCTAAATCATAGTCAGAGGGACAAATGCAGTGTTTTAGGATGTGTGGATAAAATTGAGTGATAACTGAATGGAGTTTGGTAAAGCTTCCCGTGAGCCACCCCGATCAGAAAACACACCACCAGGACACTTCAGACGAAGCTCATCAACCCCACAAATGCCGTCTGTCTCCTCAGATACACCCTGAACATCCTGGAGGACCTCGGCGACGGCCAGAAGGTCATCGACGACACCATCGTGTGCTGGGTCAACGACACGCTCACGCATGCTGGGAAACCCACCATCTCCAGCTTCAAGGTGACAAACGTCATCCGTTCAATCAATGGGGTTCCTGACGTGGATGAAATAAAAGGAACAGTTTAATCAACGGTTCTGTTCTGTGCAGGACGGCTCCATCAGCAGCAGCATGCCGGTTCTGGACCTGATCGACGCCATCCAGCCCGGATCCATCCGATACGACCTGCTGAAGACGGAGGACCTGGCGGAGGAGGAGAAACTCAACAACGCAAAGTACGGCGCTGCTTTAAAGCCGATCTCTTCGCCTCGTCTTTGTTTTTTATGTCGACATTTGGAAAATATAACAAAGTACAGTTTTAAGCTGATTTTTGACCCAGTTTTGATCAGAACCCTGACTGAAACCGAGCTCTGCTGCTTGTTCCCGGCAGGTACGCCATCTCCATGGCCAGGAAGATCGGCGCCCGGGTTTACGCGCTGCCTGAGGACCTGGTGGAGGTCAAACCCAAGATGGTGATGACGGTGTTCGCCTGCCTCATGGCTCGCGGCATGAAGAGAGCCTAAAGAGCAGAACCGTCCCCTCAGAGGAACCCAGAATGTGAGACCAGGCCTCAAGATGAGGAGATGGACGGGGAAGGAGCCGATGCAGTGACTTTTAAACAATTCAGAGAGATGAACTGTCTGTTAGAGTCTAATGACCTGACAGTTTGTAACTCTGATCACGTTGCTTAGATAAACTCCAGTTTTATTTCTACAAATGTTTTCTAGAGACAGAAATCTTCTGACTGGATCAGTTCAACCTCAGAAAACTCATTAATGTGGAGGTTTTTTTCAAATATTGATTAAAACTACACACAAAATCACACTTGAATTTGTCAATACTTCAAGTTTTTGGTAGCTTGTTAGTACAGTTTGTCCAACAGAGACGTGCAGAGCGATAAAACTGTAGTTTTAAATCCATGTGGGCCGACGTGATTTGTCACAGTCAGAGCAGAATATATACGATTATAGGATGATGCTCAGACATGTGACCGATCGTGTTCGTCCACGTGGATTTAAAACTACGGCTTCATCGCCCCACATGTCTCCGTTGGACAAACTGTCCTTAAACGCTACTAAAACTTGAAATATTAACACATTGAGGTGGGATTTTGCAGGTAGTTTTTATCATTAGAAAAAAAAAAGTCAGAGAGATTTCTGCCTCAGATAAAATGTTTTGCAGGATTACAACTAAAAAGTGCGTCTAAGTGACGACCTGCTGACCTTCACTGTCACAGCAGCTCATCAATAACTCTTTTTTTTTTTCTTTTCTTGTTAATCCAAAGCCCCAAAACTGACAGAAGACAGAAAAAGGTCACGAGATGAGTCAACAATAAAACTTAAATACAACCAATCAGTGCTGGAGAAACCACCAACTCCAGGTTGAAGTTCAAATTACAGAAATATCTGTTGCTGTATTAATTCACTCTGACCGTTTTATCTTCTGTCAGTTTCACCTTTTAAACGAGAACATTTCCTGCGTCACCAAATTTACTTTCTGTGGTTTTCCAACTCCTGGTAACTCGTCACAGCCATTAGTTGCATTTTTAAAAAAAACAACATTTTAATAAATAATGAAGTAACGTCCCCTCTCTCTGCTGCACTAGTGATACTTTCCTCTACAGACCTCAGGTTTTCTTTGCACTCTCCTTTTCTTTCCACATGTGAAGCAGTGTTCAGGTTAATCATGATGCTCAGGTTTTCCTCCCCGTCACATTTTTACTGTTTGTTTCTGTAACGCGCCAGATCACGACATTGAAGCCAAATGTACACAACAAATAAAGTGATTTTTGTATTAAAGCGTTGTGTTTGTTTCACACCTTATTTACCAGTAATCCTCTGTTGTGTTAAACCAGTAGCTGATAAACTTTAGTGCTGATCTCTGAAGGAGTAGGTCAGCATTTTAGGAAATACACAAACTTTCTTGTCGATAATCAGATGTTGAGATTGTTATCTCTCCTCACTCTGTCCATGAATGCGAGGCAGCAGCTGGTTAGCTTAGCTTAGCATCAAGACTGTAAACAGAAGCATCAGTGTTCGTGCCATCTTTACTCTTTACCAGTCTGTCACAGCACAAAAAAACTTTTCCTTTTTATATCTGATTAAACAAAACACAACACTGTGGAACATTTTTCCAAATCTGTCAAACAGCGCAAGACGGCAGCTCCCAGTGCTCTGCTGCTGGACGTTCCTGCTGTCTGAATTCATAAAGTCTTACTTTTAATAAAACATGTCTTTAGGAAACATCGTACTACCTGGCAGGCAGGCAGGTAATACTGCAAGAGACTGAAAGCGTGTCTCATTATCAGAGCCCTCGCAGTTACAGAAACTAGATGATAAAAATGCTGAAGCTTTAATATTAACTCTACATTCAGGGTTCTTAAGAAAATAGAAACTGAACTTTGAGCCTTTATCCATAAATTCTATTGTCCATCACAATTTAGCTAAAAAACTTTAATTAAAAAGTCCTCGTTTCTGTTTTAAAAAAGGAAATATTATATTTTTAGAGTCAACACGAGAGCGTTCAGAATAATCTGTTTTTCCCAGTCGCCTTTACAGCTTCGAGTGAATTTTGTTTCTCTCGGACAGAACCGGGTTCTTCATATTCAATCCATCCATCTCGTGTTTAGCATCAAACGTGTTCAGTCTGTCTCGATGTCGACGTGTAAACAGCCTTCAGTAACTTACCGTGTCGCGGCTGTAAATGATTTTTCACTTCAGTGTTTGAAAATACAAAAAAAACCAAAAAAACACACAGCCTGGAAAAGACTCAATTAAACAACCGGTTTAATTAAACTCACAAGGTTTCGGTTCCAAAGGGAAGAATGCTGGTGAAAAACCCAAATGATGACTTCATTTTTACTTCGGGAAAAAGTAAAAGGAGAAAATGCTGACAAAGTTCTGAGGACGGTGGGCGGCGAGCGAGAAGATTTCGAGAAGTCTGAGGGGAACCCGACCACCACCTATTTACAATACGCACTCCCGTATTTCACACCAGTTTCTGCATGAAGAGTGTTTCTGCTGAACCCAACCATCCAGACGCTTCTTTAAAGGCGGTCAGCTTGATTCTGGTAACTCGTCCCGGCGTCTCGGTGAGGACGGCTATTTGGCGGGTTTGGCCTCGGCCGGGTTTTCTCCGGTGTCCAGGGTCTTGAGGAGGCGGAAGAGGCCGGCGGCTTCGCGGATGCGGCTGAACTCGATGCAGAAGGCCTGGACCTCGATGAACAGGTCCTGGACGTTGATGATCTTGTTGCGGATCAGCGACTGGAGGAAGACGCACACCAGGCGGACCAGGCGGTTCTGGAGGAGAGAAGCGGAGCGTCAAAGTAGAAACAGAAACATGAAGTTGTACTATTTAACTCTTGCACACTGCTTCAGGTCACATGTGACTTGTTTGGACATTCGACAGCAGGAAAAACTCCCTAAACGTCTTCTAGCCTGAGATATGATGACCCAGTTTTATACTTGTGTACAGCTGCTACAAATCTTTCTACTCTGAGGCTGTTTGGGCTCAGATGTGACCTGTATATCCGCTGAAATGGATCTTAGATCCACCAGTGTGGGTCAAACCAAGGAACATGGTGGTTTTAGGGAATCTAGAAACTGTGAAACTCTACAGACCACGTTTTATGTGTATGTTTTAATTTACATGTATTAATGTGACGTAGGATATTTAGACATTCTAAACAGATCTGTCGTTTAAAATGTGGCGTAGACACGATGAGGGAATTAAAACGTATGAAATCAGAGCAGTGTGTGAAGGTTAAAGCCCCACAGTGACAGAATGGGATGACTTTAATGCTACCTGCTCTGATCAGTCATTGTAAGCAAGCCACTAGAAAGCATTTTCAAGAAGAAATGCCAAATTAGAAACAAAGCGCAGCCTCTGAACTTGGTTTAAGCTCCACTCAGCTTCTGTTGGAGGTGCTTCTATTCGACCTTCTCTGATCAGTGGTGTTCATGCTGTAATGACTGATCTCTGCTTCTCCTGCCACTTACATCCTCACGTCCAGTTTTTAAGGCTGATCGGTGCGTCGTGCTGTACCTGCATGTATTTGTCTTTGATCTGCTCACAGGTGGAGATGCAGTTGGAGATGTAGAGGTGGATGAACTCTGGAGGCAAATCCACAGCTGTGGTCAACCTGAGGAACAGACGAGAACGTGAAGGAAAAGTAATTAGCAGATGAGGGGCGTCTTTTCATTTGTTGTTTGGTCGAAGGAACAAAATACCTGTCAGATATGTGAGTAAATAATGTTTTACGTGGCTTTATTTCAGGCAGAACATGTTTTTAAAGGTTGATTTCAGGGGAAGCTCTAAAATTGTGATCAGTGTCTGTTGTTGTACTGCAGAGTCACTGGGTTCAAAGTAATGCAGCCATTTTCACAAACCTCACGATGAACGAGAACACCACCACACTTTATAAACATATATATTAAACATGCACTCACAGTGAGGCTGGAATGTCTTTACTTATCGTTTCCCAAACTCACTAAACCTTAAACTAATCAACGTTTGTTTCCAAGAATAACTAAAGGTGGCAAAACGAACAGCGATTTAAAAATGTAAACACACAACTTGAAGCTGAACCGTTTAAAACCTTCTGAGCTGATAAATGGTTGTTTTGAACTTGAGCTGAGTAAAAACATCACAGCTCAGATTCTGTGTAACTTTACTTTGTGAGATTTGCGTCAAATTACAAAACGAAGTGAAAACCAGCTTCTGATCAGAGAAATACGAGAACTGAACTCTGTGTTTACTGAGACTACACGTTTACAGATGTTTGAACACAGCTGCACCTCGTACCTCATTTATTCGCTCCATAAATCATTTTTTGTGTGTATGTTCAGCAAAGAACAAAATCAGTTAAACTACTGTTTTTATAATTCCTAACACACCAAATCATCGATCTTTAACAGAACAAACCATCCTGCTGTTTTCATAGATACACTGCTCTTACATCTTTTCCCTACTAGATGCTACATTTTCTATTTCTACACTTGCCTATTCTCTACGTGTACGACTGTGTACTGACAGTAAATTAAATGTGTTTCGTGTTATTTCTTTCCCACCTGTTGACGACCTCCATGGAGTGCAGCGACATGTCCATGTTGACCAGCACGGAGAAGTACTCGGTGATCTGGCTGCTCTGCATCAGCTTCAGCAGCATCTCGATGGCCACCAGCGGGTTGTTCTCCACCAGGTCGGGCAGCTTCGCCGGCGACAGGCCGATGTGATAGACCAGCTTCGGGTCCTTCTCCAGCTCCGCCAGCAGCTGCAGGAACCAGAACAAAGAGTCACAAAGAAGAAAGAAACCTGCACCTCACATGTTCCCGCTCTGTTCTGCAAAAGGAAAAACTGAGGGTCATGAAGTCGCTGGAAAAAGATGAGCAACAGCTGGTTGACTCAGTGAGTTCGTTAGCAGCTGAGCACTAACTTTAAGGTTTATAGGAAAATGTTCATCTTCTTAATTGTGACAATTTTACGGTTTTCTTTGTAATATGTGATCAAACTGAACATCTGCTGATTTTAGGGGAAAATGTGACTTTTGGATGTGGTCAATTATTGCTATTTTTTGTGTTTGTGCCGTCGCCTTACCACCTTACTTAGCTGAAGTTAAAACTTAACCAATAGAACTAATAAACTCTCAGAGGACTTGAGCTTCAACTCACAGCAGAAAACAGCACAGCTCTATGTTTTACTGATGAGAGCTTTAAACGAACATGTTTATGTTCTGAGATTTCCAGCATCAATAGTTGACAAAAAACTCACAACCTCATGTATTAGATGTGACTCAACCACTGCTGGCCAAATAAACGACAATAAAAACACTAAGATTTAAAGTGTGAATCAGTCTGAAGGATCTAAACTCTCTACACAGCTGGAATAAACTGGTTTTATCTTGTTCTTCTGCCTGTTTCTTTTCAGGATCTAATGTTTTGTAACCTTCTTCATTCCTTTGTGTTCTGTTGAAGCTGCTTTAACCCCAAACCTCCTCTCTGAGATGAGCGACGCCACCTGGAGGCTGAGCTGAACCCACCTGTGACTGCTGCTGGGCCGACAGCGGGCTCTTGAAGGCCTTGGACATGATGCGTTTGATCTCCACGCCGGTGCTGTTCTTCACGCACATGGACCGGTCCCACTGGATGCCGTGGTCCGGCTCGGTCGGGTTCAGCCACGCCAGCTCGTCCTCGCACACGTGGAGCGGCGGCGGCGGCCGGATGAACTCGGGCCGGAAGTGACCTGACGACGAAGCAACGTGGACGGACTCTGTTAACGTCGACCTGCAGCCTGATCCTGGTGTTCGGGCTCCTAAAGCATCCATCAGTCCCTCCTCATATCTACGAGCTACTACAGAAACTTCCAGGAAAAACTGTTTTCTACAGCACATTCATAATGAGCTCACCTGCTACATGTGACAGGATTCTACAGTGAGGTTAATTTAAAAACGCTGGCAGCATCTGAAACATCATTTTAACTGTTTATTTGTTGTTGTGTGACTGATGTTTGAGTTGGATGTGGATACGAGGAGGAAGAGGAGACAGCAGCTCTCTCCACAGCTGACAATCGGAGTGTTTTTGGTTGTTAAAACACCACAAAACGAGCGAGCAGATAAAGTTAACTTGCTTTTATCTCGTCCAGTGTGCCAGAGTGTAAGCATTGAAGAATACTAATTGTTATTTGTTGGGCCTTTTCTTATTACAGATTCTACCCACACGATATTTGGCACCGAACGCATCCTGCAGCTTTGAGAAAAACCACACAAAACGTAAATGGTGTGCTCTGACTTTTGATAGTGGTTTGTTACGTTTTTTGTTTTTTTTAAAAATGAAATTCGTAAAAAAAATATATTAAACTGCTGCCAAAACCAGCCATCCAGCTCAAAAGCTCAGAGATGTTTAGAAGGAACTGATCAGTGTTTGTGAAATATGCTGCTGGCTTTTCAAAATAAAATAAACTTACATAAATAATAGCTCACGTATAATTATAGCCGGCAGAAGCTGCACTGACTCAAAATTTCCAACAAAATGTTCTCGTCTGCTTCTGCTCTCGGCTCGTTTGCACACTTCCTCCCTCTTTCAAAGTAATTTCGAAGCTAACAACAAACCAAACTATGCTTTGAATGTCAATAAACGTCATGAAAAAGCAGAACCTCTCCTTATTTAGTGAATGAAGTTACAAACACACACACACACACACAACGTAGTTAACCGAGTCGGGCCCACACTGGAATGAATTTAAGCTCTTGGTTCTTAGTCTTTTGTGCCAGTTTTCTACACAATAAACCTCCTTCCTCAAATCTAAACAGTATTAACATTCAACACACTTACTCTCCAGAGGAGGCCTCGGCCCCGTGACCAGGGACTCTGTGATCTGATTGGCCACGGAGCTGTCGAAGCCCGAGTTGGAGGAGTCCGGGTCCGGGTCGTTCAGGATGCTGGGGAAGCTGGCTTTGCTCTGAGTCGGCAGCTCGGACTGACGCTCTGCACGACACAAACGGTAGATTATGAACCAAGAGGAAGCAGGAGACACACAAAGTTCTTCAGATCAGGATGCAATTCAATCCAGATTCATGCAAACAGATCAAAATGATTTCAGGCTGCAAGCTTTCCTACTGATCCAAGCTTCTGTTGTTTATCGCTCCAGAAAAACTCACATGATCTGCAGAAATGAAGTTTATCCAGGTTGTTGCAGATGTGTTTTTAAACCTCATCTTTAAAATATGTCGTCTTATATTTGAGCCGTAGCAGTAAAGTGGCCCAGATACGACAACAAATGACAAAAAAAACATAAAAATCACTATTTGAAACAAGCGATGGCGTCACATCTCCAGCTCCACCGGACCTTACTGCCTCTGAAGACGAGCGTTTGCTGCAGGATGTGAACTGACCTGCTAAGGCCAGCTGCAGCCCGCTGATGTCTATCGTCTGAGGCATGTTGCCGACGTCCATGCAGGACACCTGTCTGGGCGTCTTCTTGAACAGATCCCTGGGCGGCGCCAACATCAGCTGGGACAGGAAGAACTTCTCAGGCTGGGTGATGGGAGGAAGGAAGCCTGGAAACGTAGGAGACGGCGTTGATGAAAACTGTTCTGACTCAGTCTGAGGTTCATGTTGTACCGTCACACTTTCTGTGATTTAGTTAAGTCAACTTTTGTGTGTTTTCATCAAGAATTGGGGTAAATGCAGGGTTTTTCTTTCCTCAGAATCAGTCTTTTGACAGTGACAATGGCTGACTTTATGCACGCTTGAGCCACGTACAGCCAAGGCAACGAGTCTGTGTTCATTTATGTGACAGAAATCTATTCATTTCTTGATGTTTCTCCCCATTTGCTGAACAAAAATATAAAATAAGCTTGAGTAAATGAAATCCCGATTAACAAGAACTGTCGAAAAACACATTATTCTGAATTCTTTTCATTTTGGAACTAATGATTTCCTTTTTACCTCGACTAAAATCTCTCTGAAGTTGCACTTTCATTGGTTTTAAATACAGACTCAGTGCTGCTTTTGCTCTATTTTGGGTTCATTTCTTCACATTTGTGCTCTAACGTTTCTCACAAGCAGATAAATGAGTTTCTAATTTCATTATTCTGTAATCATTTTAATCTGGAAAGCATTTTGTTCTCAGCCAACTGGATAAAATTATTATTTAGTGATGTTGGCTCGGCATGTGGGAAACTGGCTGTTTACATGGGGACAAATGA